ATTCCCCCTTCTGTGCAGTCAAACAGAAGTAACATTGGGGCTATACGTAGATCATATATTAACTAAGAATTAATTTATATGCAGGGACCAGTTCGTATTGCTGGAGGACGGATATGGGAAGATTGTTGGACGAATTAAGGAAATGATTATCAGAGCTGGGGATAAGATTTTCCCAAAAGACATTGAAGATTTCTTTACGGAACATCCTGACGTTTTGGAAGCCCAGGTGATATTTCTACTCTCATATCAGCTCATAAACACAAACGTTTGCTTAAATCACGGTTAAATATAACCGCAACTTTTGTATTCATGGAATAAATTAAGAATAACCGATTTGGATGTTGATATTCTTAAGTTGTGATTTGGTGTAATTAGTTATTTTTTCTACATCACTATTATACGCTATCATTTCTGTCAGTAGACATGAATAGTAGCACATCTAGTAATAAAATAATTCAAACTCGATTCGAGATTTCCCTTTTCCGCCTCCTACGTTTCGCAGGGTCACGGTGGAGGTTTCGACCCCGCCTCCACACGGGTCGTCCCTTGCTTATAAGAACTCGGCACGGACCACATAGAAAACACCGCTCTTCTGTTGTTACGTTTGTGTTCCTTGCCGCTGGAACGTGTCTACTGGGCCGTTGACCAGAAACGGCTGAGGCGCGGACCACAGAAAACACCGTTCTTCTATTGTTGCTTGCGTGTATGTTGTGGCCGTTAGACAGCAACGGCCATGAGTTTACTAATTTCATGAGTGTAGATTCGGCTTACTGTCTTCTTGGACCTGACGCCATACAGACTGGCAGAAATACTAACGATTCAGAAATAATCCGCTGCTTTTTTAGTCGGCTCTCTCTCCTGAAGATGGAAACAGTAGGTTACTCTGAAACACTGGTATATTTCTACCAGGCTGCACGGCATCACATCAGATAAGACTGTAATCTTCACATTCAATGGTGTGGGTAGTTCGTATGTTGAAACGATTTAATGTTCTCGTCACAGGCGTTTGGAGTACCGGACACAAAAATTGGGGAGGAAATCTGTGTCTTTCTGAAGCTAAGGGACGGAGCAACCCTCACCGAAGAGGGTGTCAGGAATTACTGCAAAGATAAGGTTAGTAGGAAGGTATTAATGCCTCACATAATGAAGTCAGCATCTATTAATATAACAAGACACGTGTAGCATTGATATTCATCACGTAACATTTACCATGAAACATGACAACTGCCCTTCAGTGNGCGTCCCATGGGTTCTGCCCTATCAGAAGCAGCAAGACCATGCAAACCTAAATGCTGCCCAGGGTAACGCTAAATGACGTTCGCTCAATTAACGACAGATTAAATTTCATAAAATTTCTTGAATTTTTTTCACTGTCTCTACAGCCCCCTTGGGCCCTGCTCTTTGATTTTCTGATTTATTATAATTTTGCAGACGGTAGGACTCCTTGGGCGAGTGACTAGCTCGTCGCAAGGCCTCTACCTAAACACAGGACAACACAAACACAGAATAAACGCATACGAAACATCGATGCCTTGTGTGGGATTCGAACCCACGATCACGGCTTTCGATTGAGCGAAGACAGTACATGCCTTAGACCGCGCGGCTACCGTGACCGGCAATGTATAGGAATAATAATAAGAATTCAGTTCGTACCTCACAGGAAACAGATTCGAACCCACGATCCCGGCTTCCGAGCGAGCGAAGACAGTTCATGCCTTAGACCGCTCGGCTACTGTGATCTGCTTGGTCGCAATTCGTAACATGAAATTTATAGATACTGTGACGAAAACTTCAATTTCCGCTTGCACTGAAACTATAAATTTTGCAACTTGGGATTCAATACGTCTTGTAATGTTGTGAATGTTTGGCCTTGGAATATACTTACTGACAAATATCCACTCATATAAATGGTTATGGATTGTTGTCTGAAATATGTCGCTCTTTATCTTTTTTCTAATGTGAGGGGTTAAGAACAGTTTAACTAGGCATTTATGAACAATTAAATACTTTATAAATCAATGTCTCTTCAGCTATTCACTTTAATATTATCCCACCATTCTCCTTATTGATCAATTTCCCGCAACGACCTTCAACCATAATTGTGTGAACTTGCAATTATATTTCATAAGCACGACATACATTTCATAATCTTATCTCATGAAGCATACTTGGGACTTCACTTGGACCAAAAATTAACATGGCAAAAACATATTAAAACGAAACGTCAACAAACGAACATGAAACTCCGTGAAATGTCATGGCTCCTGAACCGTAAATCAAAATTATCCTAAAAGAACAAACTGATACTGTACAAATGCATATTTAAACCTATATGGACATATGGAGTTCAACTGTGGGGTTGTGCAAAGCCATCAAATACACAAATCATCCAAAGGCTACAGTCCAGAGTTCTACGAACAATCACCAACACACCCTGGTACGTCTCCGATCGGACGCTCCACAACGACGTGCAAGTCCCATATGTAACAGACGAGATACGAAGATTAGCTCTACTCTACAAACAACGACTACAAGGACACGACAACAGATTAATTGAAGAAATAAGAAACCCTCCCAACGTTGTACGGAGACTGAAGAGACAGTGGCCATCCGACCTTCCGAACAGACAAAATTAGGTTAAGCAATAAATTCTAACATCAATTGTGTTTAAGAGCATCGACGCTGGTTGATTCTCTACTCACGTTCCTACTTTTAACCAGTTTACTTATTGCTCCTTGCTGTAGTGAGTAGATTGTAAATTCGCAGAGAAATAAAAAAAAATTACAAACAAATTAATTTCTTTTCCTGTGGTAGTTAGCTCCGACATATGCTTATATCCAAATCACAGAAAAGCTAAATGGCTCCTTATTTTGAGCTCTCATTTTTTAATGAGTGAGAACTAAGCCTAATTGCTGTCTTGGCAGTGCAGATTGGATTTATAAAAATTCAAGTTTAATATGTTCTATTTAAAGTTTGAAATACTCGTACAATAAATAAACACCATCATAGTGGCCACGCGGTCTAAGGCACGAAATGTCTCCCCCTCCAACACTGGGATCGTGGGT